AAATTGAGTGCTATGCTAGCTTGAAAATATGACTTTATAGTGTTTTTCGTTAATAAAATTGAGGAAAATAAAAAATAGAGACGGCATAATTGTAGGCTTATTTTAGGCTAATTTAATACCAACATAAAAAAATTCCGCTCAGGCCTTTATTTAAAAAAATTAGGTGCTCTGCTAGCTTGACAATACGACTATATAGTTTTTCGTTAAAAAATTGAAATATCTAAAAAATGGAAACTTTATAGTTTCAGGCTCATTTTAGGCTAATTTTGTGCCAACCAACTAACCTTAGGTACTCTGATGGCTTAAAATGATCCTAAAATTATGTGATGTCTACTTTTTAGGCTCTTCAATTTTATTAACTAGCTGAGCACCCAATTTTTCCGATAAAGCCCAGAGTGGATTTTTTTTATGTTGGTACAGAATTAGTCTAAAATAAGCCTAAAATTATGCTGTTATCATTTTTTACATTGCTAAATTTTTAAATGAAAAACGCAATAAGTGCCTGTTGTTAAGCCAGTAGAGTACCTATTTTTTGCTATAAAGAAAATAGCGAAAATTTTTTTAGGTTGGTATAAAATTAGTCCTAAAATTAGACTAAAATTATCCTAAAATTAGCCTAAAATTAGCCTAAAATTAGCCTAAAATTAGCCTAAAATTAGCCTAAAATTAGCTTAAAATTATGACGTCATCAAAATTTTAAAAATCCAAATGTGCTCTACTAGCTTTATATCAAGCTACCAAAGCACAATAATTCTCATAAAGAAAGAAGCGCAAAATTTTATGTTGATACAAAATTAGCCTAAAACTATGACGTATCCATATTTTTGAGTTATTTCAATTTTTTAACAAAAAACTCTATAAAGCCGTATTGTTAAGTTGCAGCACCTAATTTTTTTGGATAAAGGCCAGAGTGGAAAATTATGTTGTTACCATTTTTTACATTGCTAAATTTTTTTAATGAAAAACGTGCCTCATTATGCCAACAGAGTACCTAATGTTTTCTATAAAGAAGCGGATTTTTTTTTAGGTTGGTGTAAAATTAGCTTAAAAGTATGATGAAATTAAAATTTGAAATATCCCAAGTTGATTTGCTAGCTTGAAATCAAGCTCTCTCACCTAATATTTCCTATATAGAAAGGAGCAAAAATTTTTTTATGTTGGTACAAAATTAGTCTAAAATGAGCATAAAATAATGACGTATCCCTTTTTTGAGTTATTTCAATTTTTCAACTAAAAACTATAAAGACGTATTGTCAAGCTAGCAGAGCACCTAATTTTTCCATTAAAGGCAAGTCCAGAAAATGTTTCATGTTGGTATAAAATTATCCTAAAATGAGCCTTAAATTATGGCATACTTAGAATGTGAAAAATCCAAAGGTGCTCTGCTCGCTTGATACGTATGCTACTTTATCAATTGGCGCCTACTGGGGGTTTAGTGGCGTATTAATATAAAAATTTAGAAATAATATTTTTAAACCAAACAACTCATATTTTTAATTTATTGATAGTTATAGATGATATGTATTGGAAATTCGAAATAATAGTTATGACGTAGCGGTGTTTTTCTTATTGTAATCGGACTTTACCTGCCAAACAATGTAAAATGTGAATACAACTTAAAAATTTGAAAAATCTAATTTAATCTTAAACCTACAATATTACAGAGTAAGAGATTTTCTTGAACTAAGTGTCTTTGAATTATTTATAGTGCTGGAATCACACGCCACCAGAAGCCAGTGTAGCCGTTTCAAATTCAAGAGGTGAGGAAAGGAAATCGACCAATGTTTTGTAACTGGCCAAACTGAGTGTTCTTTGCATTTTATGGTCACATAGTCCATATTAACAAATACTTGGTCACTCAAAAATTACATCATATTTTCTGTAGCTGATAGAAAGGCAAATACACCATCTTGGTAATATCTAATTATTATTCTTTTAGGTTTCGTTTCGTTTCTGTTTTGCGATTCTATAACTGTAATAGGTACAACTCATTCGTCTCTTGCAAACATCTAAAGTATCTCCTCGAAGTGCCATTGTTAGATGTATTGTTACTATCTTTTCAGGCCGTTCGTTTGCTCTCGCAGCTATTTTAAACTGTTTCACGTAATTGGTCCATCACATCTTTCCATCGAAAGTTGCGATTTTAACACGAGCAGAGTTTATAATTCCTTCCAATTTCGGCTTTTTCACCTCATAGCACTTTGTTTCGCCGTCCTTGGCCTGTTCTGTTCTCTCTATTTATTTTATCTTCTTTTCTATCTTATTTTTACGCACCAGAGTTATTTAATGAAATTATCGGAGAAAAATCATCAGCGAATGACTATTACCTATTAAGGAGTCTACACGATTAAAATAGACTCTAGATTGACCCGTGGGACTTCCATGTGTATATCTCAGGTTTGTTCCAACACAATAGCAAATCGGTTTACGTACTGTCGGGATTCTGCGCAGTCCAGAACTAGTGTTCCAACAAACTTCGGACTCAAAACTGTACAAAAACCTAAACCTAAACCTAGAAACATGCACAAAACGATAGTAAGCTCGTAAATAAATCACAACCAACTCTGGAAATTTCGAGATTATATTATTTTTGATAGTATCGATCATAGTCTCGATCCAAGGATTTGTTTTAATGAGTTTTATAAGGTTTTTATTTCCCAAATTCAAAATTCAACATTAATTAAATTTGTTTTGATCTTAACGTTATTGACAGTATATCTGACATAAAAAAAGGTGTTCCAACCAAAGAGGTTTAAGTTCCGAATTGAATCCCAATCTTCAACAAGTCGTGGACAGGTGGACTATCAGTCATCGACAATAAGTTTAGTGGACTGGTTTATGTATGGTTCCAAGATTGTTGTTGGAACAAACCTTTAATAAATTTTAATTATTTTTTAAAACCATAGATACATATTACATATTGTTGTTGGTGTTTAAGAATGATTTTGTTAAAAACAAACATTCAGATGCACAATAACTTTTTCTAGGTCGACATCGTAATGGTTTCGAAAATAATAACATGCCTTCATAACATTCATCAATAATAATACTACCTACCATCTTACCATGAACACTAAGACGGGTTCTTATACAAAGAAATTACCATCCGCTTGCAATTTTTCAATTAGTGCATCCGCTAGTCATTTACCTCTTCGCCAGTTTACACGACACACGTAATTGCCTCGAGTTTCAATCGATATTAAATGGTTTTGCGAATTAAGAACCACGAAATTTAAGAGAATTAACCTCAATTAGGGTAGTTAAAACAACTGACGTAAATGGTAGATAATGCCAAACATTGCCATGATTATACTGACTGTAATAAGCCACGACTTTCTCTAGTCTCTTTCGTTAATCGACTTTGTTCCTAGGATCATTTATGTTTTTGACAGGTTAATCTGTCACTCTGTTTCTATTTTCATCTACAGATAGTTTTCAGTTCTCCCACTGTAATAATTGGAACTAGTTATGATTTTGTATTGTACTTCCATTTTTAGGTTTTTATATTTCACTATCTCTAAGAAATCATTAACTGCCTCTGGAGCTCTTCTAAATCATTTATCTTTCGTTTCTTTTAAATTTTACATTTTGGTTATTCCCCTTTTTTTATACTTCTTATTAAGTAACTAATCGCCTTTGGGTGTTCTTACCATTGAGTTCCAATTATTTATTTTTCTTACCAATATTTATATGAATTTAGTTGTTGTTCACTGATCAGGTGAACTAACTTCATCTACTCTTCCTGTGTCATTTTCTTAAGTATCTACCCTATTAACCCTATATAGGTAAACAATATTAACATATTAATTATTAACAATTCTATTAGCAACAGTTTTATCACATCGACAACAACCGTTACCTGAATACAAAATTATTCTGAACTTGTTTACAGGATTCTTAAAAGAAAATTTCATTAATACACATATAATAATAAATTTTAACGGTATTTCCAAGGTGAAAAGTCAACATTCTTAGCACTACATGGTAAGGTTGTAGATAGAACAGATTCCGAGTCGACCGTGTACCGTGTACCAGTTACGTACTGGCCAATTTGGAACCTTATACAATGAGATTAAAATTTAATTAAGGCGTATAAAAAAAGATGTAAAACTGTATTAGAGTAGATAAATAAATAAATAAACAAATTCAATGTACATTCAGAAATCCTAAAATTTCTACTTAATGTCATTGACAAACCTAAATTTATACGTTTTACAATTTATTATATGTACACTAGAAGAGACAAATTTAAAGCATTAAAGTATTATCTTTTAAAAAAACTTTTATGTAGGGACAGGTAAGGAAAATAGATTTTACAACATCCCGAATACTCTAGAATGACAAAAACACATATTAGGAAAATAAAGGGGATTGAATATAAGTTGCACAACTCATTAGAATTTAGTGAACTTTGAATTAGTTTGAAGATTACCTTGAATTACAAGACCGGTTTCTCTAGATTTTTTTGTCAATTTGACGTAATTTGAAATGAGAAAATGTTTCTCGGTTGGGATATGCATTATTAAACAGATAAGGTACCTACAAACACATTTCTGAGTCCTAGTTTTGTCTACACAACCAATCATTATTAGAATTTCAATTTATTCAAAATTAGAAATATAAGCTTCATAAATACAAATATTTTTTTAATTTTTCCAATAATATCATTTGAATTCAAACAGGGCGAACCGCTGAAGGCTGACTACAAATATAATAATTTGAGGCCTATCTCACAATTTATAACAAAAATAAAAAATTTGAAAATAAGTTACTAATTTTTTAGATGAACAACAACTGATCCATACGCACATTATATTATAATCAATTACTTAATATTATTAATATGGTCAAATAGACAATTAAACAGCCCACATTTATATTTAAAAAATCATCGATGACGTCATGTATGAAAAATATCTCGTTTTGTTTCTTTATTATTTTCCATAATTATATTATATGTATATCTGTAAGGTGTAAGATGACACAATCTTTTGTTGCAGATATGTTCTAGTCCCAGAAAAAAATACCCTTCACAGTCCGAACCCCAGGTTTCTTCCTTTGGACTCGCCGTTCGCACGAACGCCCAATCCGACGCACCCCCCACTCTTCGCGGCCATTTTAAGAAGAACGACTGGAATTAAAGTACTAGAGTGCCACGCTTTCATATGCAAAAGAGAAGTCGCAGCCAATGCGTTAGTCCGATGCTGTTTCCACGCCTACGCTGATTCCTCGTACGCCAAGCAAGTGGATACCGCAGGGAGCATATACGGGACCCTCGCGTCGGAACGGTTAACGAGTAAAGAAAAGGTATGTTCAGAAGATGTTTGGAAAGGCTTTGTAATTAAGAAATGTTGTGTTATGAATTTTAATAAAAATCTGGATTTAAATGTATATTTTTATTTCCAACAATTGAAGTAGAAGTTACTTTTTATTGCTGTAATTAGTATTAATATTGTCGATATTTACTTTAATTTTGGACACTACACTAATTCAAGCCTGATGCTTTAAAGGGCTGCTTTGTATTTATATAAATGTTCTTTTGCAGATAGACGAATGGAAAATGAGCAGATCACAATCTGGTTCAACGATGACCTTAAATACGATAACTAACAATCAAAATCACAATCATAATCATAGTAGTAAAGACGATATTAGTATATACAATGGCGATGAGAATCATAAGGTAATGATTTTAGAATACAACACCAGAGTAAAACAAGTACATTCACAGTCTTTTCAATGGCAAATAATATTTTTTTTACTACTTCAAGTATTTTATCATTTACAGGTATGGGCAGGATCGCAAGACAACCTCGATGGCATTTACGACGTATACTCCACTAGTACAATCTCCAGACCATCCCGACCCAGGCAAATATCTCAACCAGTAGCAGTTCCCCCTCCTCCCATGAAAGAGAAGAAAAAGAAGAACAAGGTGAAGAGTCTTGGCGGATCAAGAGAAGATCTATACAATCCGATGATGAACGGAAGGCCTAGCAGCGTAACTGGATCCATGGTGAAAATGAGACAAATGCCTCCACAGATGGGCGTACCTCCACCACAACCTATTTACATCATGGCTCCTCATCCTGGGACGTTGCCCAATCCTAAATTTTTTAAGCATCACGGTAAGAATGGCATCGATCTAGATCTGCAACCAACGGCTTTGATCGTTTGTCCTCTAATGAATATCACTGAGTGAAAGCGCACTTTCTATTTTTCCCAAAAATGAATAGCATATGGTTTTCAGGTAATACATTTTCACACAGACCTAGAAACAAAGTACTTATCCCAGCTCGACCTATACCCCCACCACTAGTTCCAGTCGCACCGATGATTATCCCAACTACTATGTCTAAAAGTAAGAAGAAGCAAAAACATGTCGAGGAACCCATATATATGCCAAGCAATAGAGCTTTAAGTCCAGTGGCAAGTTATCAACCTGTGAATTTTCCCCATGAAGCCTATTTAATGCAACAATATGCTACTATGGAATCACAGGCAAGTAATTTGGGCCCCATAAGTTTTAGTGTCAAGTAATAATAGTCAGCGATCTTATAGAATTTGTAGTCTAACCACTATTTTTGTCGTTTTGATTAAAATATTAAACATGTTGCCTAACGTTTTCCAAATAACCAAATTATCACGCCACAATACTATTTTCCAATTTTTTTTCAAAAGATGAAAACAAAATACAATGAGACAAAAAGAAACAAAAAAAATTAGATGCATTTTATAGGGGGTTAATAGAGGAGATAAACCGAAATAAAATTTTAAATCTTTCTATAGGGTTCGAGGGACATAAATAAGATCAAATATAATCTAAAGCTTTTATTATTGAAAAAACGGGAATTTTATTAAGTATTTGTATTTTCTTCGTTTAGGGAAAGCAGAGGAAAAAAGAGAAAAATTCGGAAAAGGCCAAAATGAATAAAAAGCTCGCGCAAAGCATGAATGGCTTGGATGATCCTAACATCATCAATAACAACGACGAGAGTCCTTTCAACACTGGGATATACAAGAAAAAGGGTCACCTGAATGAAAGAGCCTTTTCGTACTCCATAAGACAAGAACATAGGAGTAGAAGTTACGGAAGTTTGGCGAATTTAAAGTTTGCTTCTCCTATACCAAACGGACACGACGTAAGTACATAGATTAGTAAAATCTGAAATTGCCGAGGAAATTTCTCATTTTTCAATAAAAAATTTAAGTGATTATATATATAGTGAACTTAGTAATGGTCTTATGGATAGGTGTATGCTTAGCAAAGTAACTAAATAGGGTGTTTATAGTCGACTTAGTATTAGTAATAAAAATATTAAGCATAAGTCAAAATTGAACATTGACAATGTAATAGGCCATTTATACTTACATAGTAATAGTAATAACATTATTATTAAGCATAGTCATAAGTAAAATTGAACAAAAATCAAGTTTCATCACTAAACTTAAACTTATATAAAATGGATATGAGCATGCGCAAAAATCTGATTTTTCTTTCGTTAATTTGATTCTGGTATCAATAAAATGTATGCCTACTGAGGAAATAAGCAAAAGGCCAGTTGTAATATTTTTAGAATATTTTTCTGTTTGACATTTGAGCGGGATTATTTTTACAAATTTATTTTATTTAATAATATAATTATTCAATTTAAGTTAAGGACATTTTATGAACTACAGGGTGGTAAAGTTATAAGAAAAAAAATTATTTTTTTCGATATATTTAATACCCCAATCCAAAGCCATTTTCCGATACACAATTTAAACTTTTACATTCGAAAAAAATAAGTTTTTTTCTTATAACTTTACCACCCTCTAGTTCAAAATCTAAGAGGCGTAGGACATATGTTCATAGGAACTTTTTTGCTTCATTTAGTCCAAGGGAGACGCCTCTGAATTTTTTCGCAATATTAAAAAAACACCCGATATATATATGGGTGCGCCACTGTCTACACCTTACGGAACCACCTCAATAAATAATTAGCGATATTTTCTAAAGAAAATTTACAAACGAGCGCGCGATGAAGTGAAACCGAAACCTGCTGGCCATTTTTCAAATATGGACATAATATGTCAATTTCGCCAGACGAGGCGAATTCAGTACAGTTGAAGAAACAAAACACGTCTGCGGAAGACATCACATTTTTTAATAAACGTTTTGTCTGCGGAAGTATCAGTGGAACAGAATATGAATATTAAATTTATTGAATACCGGGTGAATTAATTTAAATGCAACGCAACACAACGTCTTGATCGTCCAATCGTTCAAAACAAATCATTTTACAATACCTTCAATAATAACATTGAACAATAATATAAGGTTTTGTTCCAACAGCTCCTTTTTGATGTGTCTCTGACTCATGCATGGATACATTTGTAAACTAATCACTGCTCATTTCAGTCCATTTATTCGTCCGTTGTTTTATCAGCTACTTGTACTTGGAACGCAAAATGCAGTGGACAAACCAAACACATGTTTGGTGAATAGGTATTTTAAACATTATTTCAAATAAAACATAATATATTTTTTTACCTGTCTCGAACGATCTATGTGAATTTATCATTTTAAAACATTAAGATATTTATTTTTATTAAAAATAAGTACGAATTTTATATAAAAAAATCACACGAGACAAAAACAAAAATGATTCATTTCAATTGAAAGATATAAAAACACAAGCCACTCCAAGCTAACCTAAAATCACAACAATAACAAACAAAAATAGCAATAACGAGAAGAGACGTTCAAATGCGTGTGTGCCACATACTTTGATTTTCTCTTACTATACGGAGAATGGTCGCACTGCGCAGCTTTCTGAGTGCCTTTTAAAAGGAGATAGAAAACTCCGCCATTTTGATGCCTTATTACGTGTTGCCTACATCTTGGCGCAATATTTTTAATATTTTGCTTGCTGCTGTCAGTGTCAGTGAATATTGTTTTTGGAGTCACAGTTTATTACTAAAGAATCAGTTAGTTCACTTGGACCAGTTGAAAGTTCCAAAATAACATCCACTCCAGGGATACAAATTCAGGCGTGTTGGGCGTGTCGGACCTCTCTCTTGCACCGTATAGTAATCAAAGTATGTGCCAGAACCAGATAAATCGGCCATTTTCATGGCACTCTCATGATCTCATATCGATTATCGTGCATGGTGCTTGATATTTACCTATGTTGACATCACCTCGCATACTTGATTATATGTTTAATATTTAATAACGGCTACTGTCAAATATCAATTGTCAGAGTAATACTCGTGAAACTTTTTAAAATGATCCGATTATAAAAGTTATTTTATTTATTTAAATTACAGCTAGGGCTCTAGAAATAATCTCACTAAATATAACTCGACCTTAATAAATTAGCGCTTATTTCTATTGTTGCTAAATTTATCGGGTTATTTTGCAAATTAATGATCAAAGATTATTAAAGTCCTCGAGCTAAAGCTCTCGTACACTCCGTTACTATAAATCTATAACCATTTAATTTATTAATATACCCATTCCTTTTTCTTGTCAAGTATTATACTTATGTTAAGTGGCACTTAACCAATAAATGTATTTTTTTCTCTTTTAGGAAGACAGAGAAGATATAAAAAAAGAACGGGAAATAATGCAAATGGTTCACGACTTGGATCTTTCTGGAGACGAGCTAGAACGGTCTGAAGTCCCTAGAGGAATGTACGAAGCAAGAGCGGGACCACCGGGACCCGTCATAGTAACAGCTCCGCAGGTCAATGGAAGAGGCCACAGGAGATAAGGTAAATGAATTTTTTCTAAATTTTTCTCTCATATCGTAAGGTATCGGGCTTATACCCTATTTGAATATTTAAGTAAATTTCTAAAAATGTTTTATGATAATCAGTCTTTTCAAGGAAAGGCAAAATTAAAAAACACGTTCTGTCTCTAACATGTTAAGGGTAGCTTGCCCCACTTAGTTTTTACTACGCCCATTAACCAAAATTTAATAAATGAGAGCGGACAATCGTACAGGATATGATTGATGGTCACATCTTCTTTTTGGCAATCCCTGGAGAATGCCGAATCTGATAGCCCCAATGCTATTGAGATGCTTCCGTACTTGGCATGACAGGTCAGATTCTGTCTAGTTATAGTCAAATGTTTGCTGTACTGTTGTCGAAATAACCTAAAAGTCCCCTAGTAACTCTGCAGCTTTTTCTTTCATCCCATCCTTTTTTTTTAATTTCACAAGGGAATATGCTTTAATTAGGTTTGTTATTACTGCTGTTGTCAGTCCAATGGAAAGGCCAGATCTAAAAGTATTTGACTGGATGCGTTCTTGGCTAGTGAATCAGCAAAATCTATCGATGTGGCGTGACCTTTGATCCATCTTAAGGTGAACACAATGTTGATGGATACTACGGATTAAGCTTCGTGACATTCTAGTGCTAACACTGAGTAAATTCGGTGTCTGTCCAGGGTGAGTTGTGCTTGTCTGTATAGTTGAGCATTTCATTCCAGTGATATTGTTTCTGGTAACTTCTATTGTTGCTATGAAAATCCCCCTGAGAGTGGTTTGAAGTATACTTGCACTAGCACGCAGTCCATTTTATGTTTAGTTTTAAGGATCTGAAGTATATTTCACATTCTTAGCCTTGTTTTATTTTATAACCACCGGCTTGTATACGAATCGTACCTATTACTTCCGATTCTTCAATTTATTCCGTTATAACTTTAAATGACTTATGGAAGATATATCTCGGTGATAGTCCATGTTCGCTTGATGCAGTGGAAGCGTATCGACCGCCTCTCGCCAAAAGCGACGTCTCACCTTCCTAGATCCAACATCAGGTTCTATTCTAACCGTGCGGAGTCATGTCATTGTCATCAGAGCAACCTCCTTGATGTAAATATTAAAGGCGGTGAGACTAAGAATGACTTCCATGGCTCTGGTTTATATGATTTTTATGGTTTTTGTTAGTTTGCGACATGCTGCTCTTTGAATTTGTTCTAGTTTGCGCATGGCTGTCAATTGTTGGGTTTTACGATACACAAACAACTACACCGTATGTTAGCATAGATCTTATGGCCGCGCAAGTCAATGTGACGACTTTGGAGAAGAGACGCCAGAAGCCCACCACAGTTCGGCAGCAATGTATGCTTTTTTAACCCTGTTTTCTAGCTGTCAGTTCCTTGTTAGCTTGCTGTTGCAAAGTTTAGTTTTGTATTTAGGATCTGGAGGTTTAATAAAAAAAATTTCAAATAATTTAATCAAGTTAAAATATTAAATAAGTTTTTATAACAAAACATTTCTGAAAATTTACTCTCGCTTAATGTTCAAATGAAGTATAGTTGTGGTGTTATTGATTGTTAATTTCCCTCTTTAATAAACTGTGTCTATTTCTATCTTTTGCTATTTCTTTGGCTTGGCTGAGTCAAGGTTTCTGCACCTCTATCAGTTAAAATATTTTCTTCTACTACTATTGTAATTTATTTTTTGTCTTCGTGACTTATTTTTTTTTCACGTTCTTTTGAGATATACCCGCATAGTACTAAAATCGTTAAATTTGTTGTCAGTCATGCACGATGCACTAAAAAAATGTTGTGTGCTTAGCGTATAAACGGCTAACTGGTACATTTATCGAAAAATAATGTGTTTTTACGTTCAATGGTTCACAAATTACACACAAACAGACTAATAAAGTCGTGTAATAAGCACAACAAAACAGTTTTTCGCCAGATATGTGCTTATTCATCATATTTTCCATGTTACTTATTCTTGTGTGGGGCGTTTTGCCTATATCTTTAAAACATTGATATACCGGGTATTAGTTTGTAATTGCTATGTATTTTAATTTGCGTTATAGTCACTTGGACTAGTTAAAGTTATATGGTTTTGAAAATTGCATGCTTTAAAAATATTTTTGGATATTTTTTCAAAATATTTTATATCAGTTTTAGAATGACCTGTATTTAATTCTAGAATATTTTTAAAAAAATAAGTAATTATTTTTTTGTGAAATTTGAAAAATGATACAGAACTTAAATATTATTATCATAATTTAGGTAGGTTATCAGTATATTAAAAATGTTTATATCATGGATTTATGAGATACCTAGCTAAATAAAAGTGATATTAGAAATTGTTCATTGTGTTTTGAAACGATTTCCAGAAAGAAAAATGTTTAAAATTAAAAAATGGCTTAAATAAATTGATTAAAAACCATTAATTTTAACAAATAAACCAAAAATAAATAAAATAACCATGACTATTTAGCAAGGTGAAACACTCCAAAATAAGCACTGCAGATGGCGTCATACCGGAAGCGTTTTGCTTTTTTAAATAAGTCACACATTTATCGGACACCCTTTATATTGGAAGTAATTTTTAAACAGCTTGCATTGCTATCTACAACTTTTATTCTCTAACAGGGAAGCAGCTACCGTCCACCCAAGTAACGGTTGATACACCCTGTATATATATAATTAATAATAGTTTTTGTTTCAGATTGAAAATTGTAACTCTACTATTTGGACCCTGAATTTTTCCCTGCCATATCAATTGAATTGACAACAAATTTCCTCAACAGCTGCACGCCAAGTAAATCCGTCAATGAAGCACCTATTTGTAATTTTTGGAAATCCGAAAGTCTCTGAAAAAAATCCACCACTTTCCGATAAAAACATTTTAGTACTTTTGTTTGCAACGGACATTTTTTTATTTATTCATGCTTTTATAAAGTATGCTGCATATATACAACATATTAAAGAATTTCGACAAATATGGCAATATGGCAGATATGTTCAAAATGTTAACAAAGTTTTATTGTTATCACACAAATTAGAAAGTGGCCTAAGCATTTTTCACAATACCTCAATATGAAAATTATATTTTCTATATAAAAAGGTCATTTTATATGTCATAGATAGACATAATAATATATACCGTATGATATTATTCCCGGTCCACTTTTTTAAATAATAAAATTTTACGGTTTTTTTGACTTTTTTATGTATAGTTACAACTGTTTTTATATTTTTAATAGTAGTTATTGTAAATAACGTTTTTTAACATTAATGTATTTAATCATGGTATTTTTATATTTAAAAAAAATCCAAATTTGCTCAAATAATCAACGATATGAAAATATATAGGTATTTTTTTTTTAAATAACGATTATGAAAGAGAATAATATATCTGAATCAGAAATGTAGAAGATTATATATTGTGTGACTAAAAAGTATTGCTCTGTATGTTATTATCGATACTCAGAAATAAGTATGAACTAAGTTCATTTTCACCTTTTTTGTCTGTTTACGATAGAGATGGTAATATGAAAGTAATTAAAGTAATTCGTATAGTATTACAAAACCATGTCAACAACGTTCCCTCCCTTAAAGTGGATTTTTATCGTTCTTTTACAAAAAAGTAGCAGAATGATGTTCTTCTAACTTCAAAGGAAGTGCACGTTCCCAAAGTTTAATAATTACCAGACCCGCTGTTGAGCTTGGAATGCTGAGTTTCTGGCTCTTAAATACCAACCTAGAAACACAGGGCGCATCCAGAGTTTAAGTCTGGGGGGGAGTGGTAATATTTGAGACTATTTTTGTTAATAATATATTTTAGTACCTACAAAAAGTTGGGTGTTTAAAAATTCTTGGGGGTAGTTACCCCCATTACTCACCCCGTATATGTACCCCTGTCTAGAAATGATATTTTTCCACCTCATCATTACCGTTTCTACACTGTTGCCACATACTGACCTACACATTCATTCTCATAATGTTTTGCACATTATTTAAAATTGCTATACCTATTGTATTATACGAGCCCTAACACAAAAATGTTCGGACATCAACTGATTTTTCGTAAAAGTTTGAAAATTTTCTTAAGGGATTCAATATCATATTTTTCATTTATAAGACATAATATGTATTGTTTTACATCATATTTATCATATTGTTTTTAAATAAACTGATATTGATCAATAAAACTAAGCTAATGTTGATAATAATGCATATTTATTGACACATAAATGTTCGGACAAATCACATCAATAGCTGGTTGCATCTCCATTTGCCTTAATAACAGCATTTATTCTATCAGGCATAGTTTTAACAAGGTTTTCACAATCTTCCGCGGTAAAAGAATATTTTGCAATTTTATTATTATTATTATTATTATTATTATAATTTGATAAGAGCAGGGGCCATAAGACCCATAAGCCCATATTAACTGAATATAAAACAATATTACTAAAAACTAAATCAATAACAGGTACAACCGATGAATAAACAATGAAACAAATGAAATGTTAATTAAAAAATAGAAAATTATCAAGTTCGTTCTTGAAAACATTGACAGATGGAGCATTTACAACATTCTCCGGTAGAGAATTCCAAGTGTGGAATATTCGATTAAATAAAAAATTTTGCCTCGTTTTCGTAAAAAATTGTTCTTTTTTCAGCTTCCATTTATGGCCACGTAGTCGATTTTCACTGTCCACGATGAACATACATTTTAAATTTCCAAAATTATATTTTAAAATACGAAAACAAATTATCATGTCACCCCGCAGACGGCGATTTTCAAACGTTTGTAGTTCAGCCATATGTAGTCTCTCTGCGTAATTAGGTCTCATACGTCCGAAAAATAGTCTGGTTGATCGGCGCTGAACATTTTCAAGAATATTTTTATCCCGCACTAGTTCCGGACACCACACAGCTCCGCAGTACTCGATAATCGGACGAATGTATAATTTATACAGCCGGATAGAATTTTGAAAAGACACTTTTGCGAATGTTTTCTTTAATAAGTACATTTTCGTGTTCGCCTTTTTTGACACTTGAAGAACGTGCTCAGACCAGCTGAGATTTTCAGTAATTATAACACCTAGATCATTGTAAGATTTAACTTTATTTAACGTATGACCGTTTAGAAAATAATTATGACGAGGATTATTTTTACCAATATGGAGAACTACACTTTTATTTGTATTTAGAGGTAGCATCCAATCTGAGCACCAGTTATAGATGGAGTCAAGGTCATCTTGAAGCTGTTGGAAGTTCAGAAATCAGAAATGTTGCGCTGTGGATCATTTCTTAATTGCTGCTTCATATTGTGCCATATATTTTCGATTATATTTAGATCAGGGCTGCTAGAGGGCCAGTCAAGGACGCAAATATTGTTGTCTTGCAGCCACTTTCTTGTGGTCTTGGCTGTATGGCAGGAGGCTCCATCTTGTTGAAAAGTAAAGTTTCCATCAGGTGATAAAATTGGAATTGACACTAACAAATTGGTTTCGAGAATGTTCTGATATTTTTCTGCGTTTACAATTCCGTCTATAAAGTGCAGTTTTCCAACACTGAAACCAGGCATGCTTCCCCATACCATAACACCTGATGGAAATTTTATTTTTCTCTTTAGGCAGTCTTTGGGAAAGGCTTCATTTTTGTTTCTTATAACACGTGATCGATGGTCACCCACGCAAACATCTAATTTTGATTCATGGCTAAAAATGATTCTTTTCCAGTCTTCAAAAGTCCACATTGCCCGTTCCTTTGCCCACGCTAATCGTCTTTTCTTTTGTTTTTCCGTCAGGAACGGCTTTTCTTTTGCCTAAACCAATGATTTCACTGCATAAATATGAGATTTCCCTTAAACGTAACCTACGTACCTTATAAAAATGTAAACCAGACTTATGGATCCAACGACGACACGTTTCTTGTGAAACATTTCCAATTATTTCTTCATTCCATTTTGCTGTTATTTCCCTTACAGTACTTCGGCGATCAGTTTTACAAATCCGAACAAGAGATCTTTGTATTCGGGAAGTGACTTTGCGTGACCGACCAGCACCATGTCTTGAAATTTGAGTTGAACCCGTTTCTCCATATTTTTTCACAATATCTGACACCGTGGACTTTGTGACATTTATTTGTTTAGCAATATCCCGAAAGGTTTTTCCTTGGTTAAACAGTTTTACTATTAATTCTCTAATTGCACCATTTGTTGCTTTACCACGCGACATTTTGGAGCCAATTGATAATCAAATTAATTCTCAAGTTAAAATGTCAAAATAGAAACACTTTTTTTTGTTTCCATGGCTTGCTATTATTTGTTTTACTAACGTGTCCGAACATTTATGTGTCAGCAAATATTGCATTTTTATCAACATTAGTTTAGTTTTATTAATCAATATTAGTTTATTTGAAAACAATTTCATAAATATGATGTAAACAATACATATTATGTCTTATAAATGAAAAACATATGATATTGAATCCCTTAAGGAAATTTTCAAACTTTTTCGCAAAATCAGTTGATGTCCGAACATTTTTGTGTTAGAGCTCGTAGGTACATAATATACATTGTAAATCTTTTGATTTTTACTCCTTAGGAATGCTATACAGACAAAACTAAATACAAATTATGTTTGAGTTGTTTAAAAACATACACAGCATTTCTTTCATCCAAGTTAGAAAACAAAATTATCTAATTTTTAGGATCACCCTATAGCTAATCTTGAGATTATTTTAACACAACAATTTGTAAATAGTATAAATTAATAATGACAGAGTAAGAAATCGATCGTATAGGCAATATTTAATGAACTGTATATTTTTTATTTTGAACACTATCCAGTTTAAGTATTACCAAAGGCGTACCAATATTGCGACAAAATATTTCTCGTTGTAGTAGAAAAAATGTTGTTTAGAAATGTAACGTATATTATTAAACTTTGTCGCAATATTTGAGCCTGTGTAAGTATTTTTGTTTTAAATGTACGGTCTTTAGTATACTAACATTTTTAATATTTTTTCTCTATTTTATTTTAATTGAATAGTGCCATTAAATTTACTAAAAGTGTTTTATTGGTTATTGTAAATTAAGGCATTTTCAATTCTTTAGTTATTTTCTGTGTTAGAAAATTTGAGTGATTGTTATAATAGAAATTTGTAAATAAACATTATTATTATTATTAATCGGTTGTTTTATTTAAATGAGTATTTAATTCGATAATTCTTGTTAAAGTTACTGGACACGTTTTTTTTTTGTAAAATACGACATTTCTGCCCTATTCCTCTTCGTCTTCAATACCTCCAGTCTTCTTCGTATTCAGCTTCAACGCCTCCCCAACCGAAAGAACTCGTTGATGCTAGGTCACTCCTCCGTCTTCGCCGTCGAACAAGAGAATTCATTTATGGAAAAAATCAAAATTAGATTATAAAAAATTCTTGCTTATTCTTCAATTAACCATATCGCATGAATAAAATTTTACGTTATATTTTTCTTCTTTTTCGAGTCTCCAAAGACTTCTTAAACGTCTCCCCAACCGTTAAACACGACGAACAAGAGAATTGGTTGATTCTACGTTGATCCTCTTTCTTCGGCTCATTCATCCTTCTCCGGCTCCAAAGGCTTCTGCAACGTCTCCCCAACCGAAGAATTCGATGAATCGAAAAGTCGATAGCATGTTATCAGAGTGAGTTGATGCTCCTATATTTACACCACTTATCAACTCCACAGAAGGGTTCAGGGTCTATCATGGCCTTACCTGAAACTTCTAGGGCGTTTCTTTGCTCTGATGTCCCTCATGGCTTGGTATCCAAGCTAAGGTTATGTTGTCTTGACTACTCAGCTCTGTTAGGTCTTCCATGCAGTTTTTCAATAGTCGTAATTTGATTTCTGTTGAGAGAATGGCCATTATAGGCAGGGCCGACTAGAGGGGGTGGCAGCCGGCACTTATTCCCGGGGCCCGGGCTCAAATGGGGGCCTGGCAGCGGTGGTGAGAATTTTTCTTATTACTTTCAGAAGTTCGACACAAGAGGGGGAAAGTTCTTGGTTAAAGGCCTTTTTTTAGAGAAATTCAGGAGTAGAGGAGGAAAAATTTTTGTTTGAAGACCTTTTTTAAATCTTTTATAAAATTGTCGCGGGGCCCGATCTGGATAATTGTCCTGGGGCGCGGTCTAGCTCTCGGCGGAGCTGATTATAAGGCTGCTTGGATATCAGAGTAGACGACAGTAGTTTTACCTGATACTTGCAAATTTGTTATTTCTTTTGTACCGTATTTTATGGATATCAGATCACCCTAAAATACTGTTGCATATTTTTTCTAGATTTATCACCCTTGCTTATAACCATTATAGTATTTTGACATTAACCAGGTTTAAAAAAATAAATCGAACAATATTGAAACAAGTACAAGCTGTCAAAATGGCCGCCACTTGTATTACCATTATGAAGACTAGAGAGAGTTGCTATATTGGATTGGATAAATTGTTTCCCATAAGATACGTGTTATTATTAATAAAACTCATACCACAGGAAGGAACTTAAAAAGATCTCTAAGGAAGGTTTTATTCGGGTCTAATTAAAGTCGTGTGTGTAGAATTACAAGTTTTAAATTAGTTATATATCTACCTACTTAAACGCAAACGAAATAAACGCACAAAATAAAAAGACAAATGAATTGGTATGGACTTCGGATGAGGATGGTACCCAATCAAATAAAAGGTACACGAAGCAAAAAATAACTATAAAAAAATGACACAAAGCAAAAAATGGATACAACAAACAGCAAAGACGTGAAGAAGAAAAGGAAACACAATACATATGAACATAATGGACACGACGGAAAACGGAAAATAGAAAAGACTTGAAAAGATGAAAAGGAAGAAAACCCATAAAATTAATCAAAATTTAATGCCTAAAAGGGCAACAGGGCAATAGAAAAGAAGAATTATTTTAAACCGCTATTACCACAAAGCACATCCATCATCCATCCCTTATCGGATCGGAAGCGTATAGAGGTCTCACGCGCTTGTATTGTTTGTGGTTTAGAGACAGAGCGGCTTCGAATCCTACGACAGACCATGTGAATTTTTAATTAAATTATATGGTTCGTTATAGGATTTGATGTGTGCCGCATTATTAACAGAAATTTAATTTGTGTCGATATGACATCCAGATTATAAATCGCCATGCGTCTCGATGTTGGTGGGTGAAGTTTTCCGGGTTTTACTCATCTGTAAGTCAAATGACACCATCAATCATCTTCAATTCGCTCTGGAGCGCCACAGCAAAAAAATAATAATATTCGTCCCTTCCCCACACAAGCTCAGTAGGCTTCAGGGGTTGAAATTCACTCGTAAGGAGGTGAATTGGGGAAAGTATTATTATTAATATTATACTTCTTTTTGTTTAGGGTTAATGGACACGAATTCTGTAATCAGACTAATAATTCTGCAATACGCTCTACGCAACTACGGAAATTTGGTTGCCTACCTCTGTTACCTTCTAACTCTATGATAAATAAATGGCATCAGCTAAGAATGAGACACAGAACAACTGAAGATTCTCTGATTAAAAATACGATGATTAAACGAAACATGCTTAGATAAAATATTACTGGTTTCCGAAATACAGGGTTTTAAAGTTGAAAATTCAAAAATTACTAATGTAATTCCAGTTAATAGGCCTCTATTTTCCCTTTAATATATTGGCAATTAATGGCCTATTGGTGGGAAGTTAACGGGAAATTGCAGGTATTTTACCATTGCTGAATAAAGGCCATGTGCCAGTCACATGACCCGACAGGCGATTCGATAGTGCCTCTTTGACCAGCGGTACGATTTTAAATATAAATTCTATATTAAAACAGAAGGCATTCTATGGTATTTATTTCAGCTATTCAGGATGATTCATTAAGGGTGGCGACCGGTCGTATCTCAGAATATTTTGAAGAAGAATTTTTTTGAAAGAAACGCAAAAAGAGGTCGATTTTTGTTTCAAGGAGGACACCTTTCTATAATATCCTCAACTGTGATATGTAATTTTTCTCCACTACGGCTAACCAATACAATTTAAATATGGAAAGTACCAAGTATGACACATCGTTGGAAAAGTAATTTTATGCGGAATTCAGCAATATGACTGTTCATTGCGTTTCTTTTATTTTAGCACCCTCTAGCGGAATAAAAAATTATTACATATAGTAAAGTGTGACACTTCATTTGAAAGTTAATTTTATTTTAGTCGTTTTGGGTAAGTGGCGTAAAATTTAGAGCGGATGAAGGTTTTACTTATCCATGACGTACTCCACTACCAAAGTTTATTTAGGTCTCTGATTGTTTTGTTAATAGGTGTATCTTATGACACCAAAAATTATACTGATAAATAAAAAAAATATAGAAATTAATAATTTTTGAATTTTCAACTTTAGCACCCTGTATATCCGAAACAGGTACTATTTTATTTAAGCATGTTTTGTTTAATCGTCTTATTTTTAAGCAGAGAATTTTCAGTTATTCTGTGTACCATTCTTAATCAGACACCATGTACATTATGAATACCTAACCTCAGGGCCGACGAGAGGGGGGTGGGAGCCGGGACTAATTCCCGAAGCCCGGGCTCAAGTGGGGGCCCGGCAGCTTAAGGTGAGGACGTTTTTTAATTAAAAAGGAGAAGTTTTTGCTTCAGGACTTTTTTTAGAGTTTTCATTAAATGATTTTTGCTTGAAGACTTTTTTTTTAGAAATATGATCTTGAAAGGGCTTAATGTTTTTAAAAAATTGGCGCGGGACCCGACCTGGAAAATTGTCCCCGGGCCCGACCTGGCTCTCGGCGCCCCTACCTAACCTAAAGATTTGTATTGCGTGTTGCATACGTAGTAGTAGTACTACTTTTAGAAAACAGATTCGATGAATTTGGAAAATACCAATTAAAAAAAAATTAATATTTTTACTTTCCTATCTGTATACAGATATAAGGAAAGTATAGGAATCATGATTTTTTTCGACCTCGAGTTTTCGACGGATTTTTACGTTTTGAGGTCCCCTGAATCCGTTTTGAC